TTGACACAGAATAATGGACAACATTGGGTCGACACTTTTTGATTTTCCTCTTAGAGTCACCATATTATTTATAAGGAGTTCTAAACATATTGAGACCTCAACATATTTTCACATACTATCAATAAATCATTATTTTTCCCTTTTTGATTTTCTTTCATTTGTTTTATCAAGGATTCATTAGATAACTTTTCTGAAAAGCTCTCCAACTAAAATGGCCCATTCCCTAACATATTGGACAAGCTACAAAGTAAGTCCTACAACACTCAGTGCGAATTCCTGAAAAGGAATAGCCAAAAGCCTTGTTCACAAAGCAGGCCGAACTGAGGTTGTAAGTGCTACAACACTCAGTACGAATTCCTGAAAAGGAATCATCAAAAGCCCTGTTCACAAAGCAGGGCGAACTGAGGTTGTAAGTGCTGCAACACACAGTACGAATTCCTGAAAAGGAATCGTCAAAAATTCTGTTAACAAAACAGGCCAAACTGAGGTAGTAAGTGCCGCAACACTCAGTGCAAAAAAGCCCTGTTCACAAAACAGGTCGAACTGAGGTTGTAAGTGCTATAACACTTTGTGCGAACTCCTGAAAAGGAATCGCCAAAAGCCCTATTCACAAAGCAGGCTGAACTGAGGTTGTAAGTGCTGCAACATTCAATACGAATTCCTGAAAAAGAATGGCCAAAAGCCCTGCTCACAAAGCAGGCCGAACTGAGGTTGTAAGTGCTGGAATACTCAGTGCGATTTCATGAAAAGGAATCACCAAAAGCCCTGTTCACAAAGCAGGCCGAACTGAGGTTGTAAGTACTGCAACACTCAGTACGAATTCTTGAAAAGGAATCGCAAAAGCCCTATTCACAAAGCAGGCCGAATTGAGGTTGTAAGTGCCACAACACTCAGTGCAAAAAAGCTCTGTCCACAAAGTAGGCCGAACTGAGGTTATAAGTGTTACAACACTCAGTGAGAATTCCTAAAAAGGAATCGCCAAAAGCCTTGTTCACAAAGCAGGCCGAACTGAGGTTGTAAGTGCTGTAACACTCAGTACGAAAAAGCCTTGTTCACAAAGCAGGCTGAACTGAGGTTGTAAGTATTGTAACACTCAGTACGAATTCCTGAGAAGGAATCCCTAAAAACCTTGCTCATCTGTAAATCAAGATAAGGTTGCATATGCTGCAACGCTTAGATAATTCAATTAATTACAAGGTTCACGATAGTTCGTTAGCAGGTAAAAAATGTGACACGTGTTGAAACATTTACTCCTGTAATAAATGGAAAAAAGAGCCAACCATATTTTAAGGTCAATCCATCCCCAAGGCGAGCACCGACCTGGGGGGTAACTGTTGATATCCAACCTAATCAAGGAGCCCTGACCTGGGGGATGACGTTGTTATCCGACCTCACCAGCTGCTCCGACTTGGGGGGTAATCTGACCTCACCGGTGACCTCATTAAGTACAGTTGGTTACATACATTAAGCTCATACTGATATAAGTTTGAATGTGTGAGGTCAGCTCGATTTATTTAGTTTATCGAGGCTCAAAGAGACATAATGATAGAAGATTTCTTACACACTGTCAAACGTCCAATCAATCAAATACATTTGGATAGGCTTATGACAGCACCTCCTAAGCTCACCAAGCATATGCCTTAGCTTCCTTCCTGAAGTAATTCATTAATTACGACAGACCACCTGTAAAGTTAAAATCATGATGGTTTGACATAGTCGAGCTCATTAAATCAATTCAAATCTATCCATTGTTGATGAATTGAGCTGACGAACTGAGCTCTAAGGTTGGACAAATCAGATTAAAGCACGTACGCTCTACATTGTAAGTTCGGCTCGGATGGTTGGCATACCTAGAAAGATTATGTAGTCTTTTAAGGAGGTTCTATTGATTACAGATCGCCGACACAATCAATAAACCAGCCAATCAGAGAAATCCACAGGGAATAATCTTACACCAGTGCTTACATGAGCCCTGATCAAAGAGTTAGACTCCTTTCCTAAGGCTTACTTCATTAATTGATAAAATCTACCTGTAAGATTTTCTCATCATGACTGTCAGATTGAGCTTGGAGGCTAATGGAATCATTCCATCGTGTGTAC